CTTATCCGGGTTGCTGTGCTGGATATTGTCAGGACCGGCGGAGAACACACAGCTAGTATGGAAATACTTGTAAGGCCATAAATGCCACGACCTTGAGCCGAAGTATTTTGGACAGATACACTAAACGGATGCCTCCTCCGGATCTTCGTCTGAATCCGTCGGTGGGTGCCAGCCTGCAGTGGTGAGCTGAATTCAGAGGGTCCCCCATACATGATGAGCTCCCTACCCAATACAAGCCGACTACATGGCACTCAAGACTTTTTTAACATCTCCAAGCGCTTTGTTCATCCAAGAAGGTACACTTCTGTAGCACTTAAGCAGCGGATCAATCGCTGCTCCCCTGGGCTTGCTTAGCAACATCCCCGTCAATGGCTAGTACGGACCAGGGAAGCAGTAGCAGTCGCGGAACGAGTTGGCTACCCAGGGTCTGGCAGGAACCAAGCCCGTGCGAATTTGTACACGGGCTCCACGCTGTGCTTCCAGGCTCCTTTTGAGCCAGGTGTCGGCGGGCCGGACAAATTACACACCGCATCTACGTTACTTATTCGCTTAACTTTGTTTGGCTCGCTAACTTGCTGATTGCCGTGCTTATTCACTGGTAACTCGTGATTCTTTTCGATCCGTACTACTTGAAGTGCTTGGCCGCTGCTGAATTGGACGTCAAGTTCGACGATGCCTGCCACCATCACAAATTAATTGCGGTGCTTGGTTGTCGTGTTAGTAGGAGAAGCGGTCGGCAGCAGCAGCAGCAGCAGCAGTACTAATTAGTAGCAGCAGCAGCAGCAGCAGCAGTTTGTCGTAGTAGTAGCGGTAGCAATACCGGTGGTGTCAGCGGCAGTGGAAGTGGTAGTGGCAGTGGCGGAGGTGACTGGCCGTCGTCGCCGTAGTCGTAGCTGTAGCAGTAGCAGGTAACAGGTAACCCAGGTAGCAGGCAGCAGTAGCAGACAGCAGGTAAATGCAGCAGATACAGGGAGAAGGTAGCAGGTGGGTGGCAGGAGCCGTAGTTTTTTGTCAACCACCTAGCACGGCACTGCCAGCTCCGCGGGGCTCTCTATGAGAAACGACGACTGGAAGCATGCATTCTCCAACACAAATTCCACACCACTGATAACGCAGGCCTCCTCACCGAAACACAGGAAAAGAAGTTAGGGCCACGAGTACATAGAGGCCTGTCGGTAATGGTAGTGGTAGTAGTATTGATTGTAGTCGCGGTCGTCGTCGTCGTCCTCGTCGTCGTCGTCGTAGTAGTAGTAGTAGTAGTAGTCGTAGTAGTATAGTCGTCGCCGTGGTGGTGGTGGTGGTACTAGCAGCAGCAGCAGCAGTCGTGGCAGTAAATTGGTATCGGTGCGCTTCTCTCTTCCTTCGAAAACGTCAACTTCTCGTCGCCTCATGCTGCAGCTCACGGAACCTTCCGTTCTTTCACCGGCCCATCCGAGAAGGCCAGGCCCTAGGAGGAGGGCGGCTTGTAAGTGTACCTCTCAGTACTCTGAGCCACCGCTGCCCTTCATGAAAAGACATCTTCAAGCAGTGGAGTTCCTAGATGGTTGTAGACTGAACAGATGTACTACTGTCAGTAGATGGCAGCACCGGAAACGCCGCTACAACAAACAACAGTCAACGCGATGCATGAAACCGTCGTCAGTTTACAGTTTACACTCCAGAGAAGTGAGAGACCAGCTACAGGCATCAGCCGCTGCCAGTGATGTATGCTGCTCACTGCTGCACTCACCTCGAGGAGTACGGAGTACGATGACTCCGCCAGATTCTGCCAAAGCACCAATGGCAAACACAAACGCAGGTGCTTTGGAGAGGTGACGTTCAGCTGGTGTCCAAACACAGCCTGAGCTCCGCAGCATCAAGCCATGCGGAAGATGCTGTGGCGCCGCCTTCTGGGGACCAGGATTCGGCCCGAAAAACACAAGCGCAATCCCAAGGAAATTAAAGAAGTGCAACCATGGAACGCAGCGCCACGCAAACACAGAGAGTTGCTGGCTCAACTCACGAGAGAATACTCGAAAATTCCATGCAAGGCCCTGCGTGCTGAAGTCTCAGCCGGTACATCAAAAGATTCCCTGTCTCTCCCACCTCGATCGGCCAGGATGACCGAAACGACATCAAGCACGCGCAGCGTCCGTTGCTCGGAAGTTGTGAGCACACTTTGGAAAATTGCTCTGCATTTCAAAGTATTCGGCAGAGCAGGCGCCTCGTGACACGGCACAGAAATTTCGAGAACTTGATAGGGGGTGTGTTGTCAGTGTGGAACGATGGCACCAGCCCGCCCATGCAAGAGCAAAAGCAACTTTCGAATTTTGCACTGGCACATCGAGAGGTCAATCTATGACCTCCTCCTCAGCTTTGTCATCGTTGTACCAATCATCTGCATCCGGCCTGGCCGGTGCCGCGGCCTCAGTCTTTCCTGCTTGCGCCCCGTCATCTCCTAGGCCGCTTTGCAAACTCTGATCACAGGCGCGTGTGATTTCTATTGGCTTCTCTTACTACTGCCACCACTGCCCTAAACCCTATAATTACTAAACCCTGAACCCTAAGCCACCTTTTTCCCTAAAGGTCCAAGTGGCGAGGCGACAGGAGAATTGGCATCGGCTCAGCGGGCGTCTTTGGGAGAGGAACACTCCCGGGCAGCTTCGTTGGACTCTGCTGGTCCCCGTACATCTGCCTGGGCGTTGTTCTGCCATTTCATGCAGGACATCGTCGCGTCACACCGTGTGTAGAGCTTCGGCCTTGTAACTGTCAGTACTTATTCATGTAGTCTGTCAGCACTGCGTAGCCTACCCACGACGGATAATATCGTGCTTCACCTTCGCTACTATAATATGTGAAAGTTCAGACGCGCGCCACGCGCACACGCACACACACACACATACACACACACACACACACTTAGACATCCATCGCGCAGCCACTAATCAATCTGGTTATCACACAGCTTGATGTATCTCGAAAGCATGAAGCTTCCAGGGGGTCCGGTACCTATCTGGCCTCAAGGCTCATCTTCACTTGATCTCTGACTTTTCCACTGTACAAGGCAAAATCTCCCAGACATGCACATGAAACTGCACTGCACTCCTACTCGCAATCAACAGTTGTGTGGTCACAAGCTGCACGAAAGTGCCCATGCCGACCACTGCAGGTACGTTTACCTGTCTCAATATCACGGAGCTTCGTTGGCAGAGGCCGTGAAATGAGACCCTCTGCCCCCTGCAATTTTCTGTAATTCAGCACAACTGTCCAACGTGTTTCAAAAACGGTTCCTCTTGGTAACAGAGGTCCACACACACAGTAAGCCACTAAGGCGAAACGACCTAGGGTCTGGACTCCAAACGAGGACGGTTTTCGTCCGAATATGGCTCAGCCCAGTGAAAGGTCAATGGTACTGTGTTGTTGACAGTACTGAGTTTGACGTAGTATGGTAAATGAGTCCCGCTTTGCGTGAGTTTAAACGCACGCTTGGGGATGCGACTCCACTCCAAACTGATAGCCTCTTTAAGGTCGTCGATAATGCCTTCGGCCGGAATGTCGAAACATGCAACGGCGGCACCATGGTGGCGGCCGTCAGAAGGCAAATTTTCAATCCAAAATCCTCGGGTCATCCGCAGCGGAGGCAGATGTTTCGGTGTCCGAGGGAGAATAAGTGGATCATCATCTTTACCGCCATCGGGTGGAAGCGACGCTTGTGCTGCATCTCGTTTCATGGCGGATAAAGCTACACATACACTGGGTCGCTGATGAGTGGGAGCAGGAAAACTGTACAGGCAAATGCTCTCACTGTATGCAGGACAGAAAAAATGTAAGTCAGGTCACAAGGTCATGCCAAGAATCACTGGTAGTTTTTCCCAGCAAGTGACATGTAATCCTGTACCCGTCCGGTGTCCAAATCAAAATAAGAATCAAACGTGTCGGTTGGGACACTGTGCAACATACCAAAAATGGCAAGCACAACGGAGGTTGGCTCTGACCAGCATTTTAGCCTTCGACCGTGCTGCAGGATTTCGGTGAAACTGCATCGGATCCCCAAGTGTGATATCACTCGCTTCAGAGGGAACGGGCGAACGCTCAGGTTTGTCCTTCTTGGACTTCATGGACTTCTGAGACTTGTTTGGTGACCGGTCCTTTTTCAGCCTTTTGGACTTCTTGGACTTCTTGGTCTTCCTGCACTTGCTGGAGGCCTTCTTAACCCAAGACGCCACCTCTGTGGGTGCCGAGTCTTTGGGAGGATCAAAAGCCGAAGACCAGGAGCTAGCATCATCAGGAAGTTCATCATATGGTACCCCGTGGTCTTGACGGGAAGCCATGCCGTTGGGTCGAGTAATCAAGACGGAAACGGCTGGCGGCACCACATGAGTAAAAAAGGAAAACACGCCTTCGGCTCAACGAGAGACAGAGATAAGGGGAGAGAGAAAAGGCGAAAAAGACATAAAACTGAGCGTCACGCTCATACGCGTTGTTTTGCAATGCGCAAAGACGGTTCCACTTTAGTGGTGCAGGCGCTCTAATCCGGTAATGATGAAAGTCCCAAAAATGTCAATTGGGAAAACGAATTAAGCAGACGAGTCGTCTGCTGTTCCAGCATGACAAAAGCTCTCACGGTGATGCATCTCGCTTGCGTTTTCGGGGTGACAAAGAATTGGCGCTCTCAGTAGGGAGGTTCAGGTCCACCGAAGAAGTGGTCTGAGAAGCTTGGTGCCACTGATTGTCAGCAGCCAACCGGTCCGAAATCCAGCGAGAAGTGGCGGGAAACCAAGATTTCCACCACGTTTCATTGCCACTGGGTCCTTGAATTTTGACCCAATAAAATCGCCACGAAACAGTCGGAGAACGCGATCGGGATCGATCCGACATGGCGTGTACCGCTGAAACCCGAACGCTGGAACTGAACAGAGCGATTTAAAAAACCTAAGCGAACACATTGCATGCAAGACTCTTCTGCATATACATTCTGTATTGCAACAGTCTTTTTCCATGCATGACAGACTCCATGAATCTTAAGCCTCTCTCTGTACATCGGATACCGGTAAAGCTTCGGTGCTTCGTACAGAGTACTCCAAGCCCGGCCAGCTCACTCCCCAATCCTGTCCTTCCCCCGTTTCAAAAGTAATCGGCCGGGGATTGTTGGGGGTGGACATCGGCAACGTAATGGAGTGGGTGCTTGACAAAATCCAAATTTTGTCGATGCGCCCTGCGGCTTCACGTACCGCCCAGCGCTTATCTCCTGAAGGGGAGTGTACAAGCGGGTGGAACTTGCACAAGTGTCCTTCATGTACAGTACTGGAGGATTTGGATTTGTGATGCGCAGATCCAAGATATCCTCCAACGACCACTCCTGCGGAATTCTTCGTGGAGTGGTGCAGTTTTGACACGAAGTCTAACTTGCTCTCTTCATAGTACACGTTTTGTGTGGCTTTGCCATAAAAGGAGCACACATGATCGTGCGGCGCCACATGTACAGCTTCGGCGCTAGAGCGAATGACCCTGCCCAACGTGAGGATGCCGACCAGGCCTTCGGCCGTGGTCCCGTGTCCCCAAGATAATAGCAGTTGGTCTGCTCTTCAGGTCCTGGCATATGTGCCACTGGAAACTCCCAAACATGCAATGCTTCTTGGGGCATGGCATACGCCTTGGCATCATGCTGAAAAATTGCCTTATATGGTATCTTGCTGGCCAAAATGGACCGGGCAAGAGTGACAATCTCCCGTTGGCCAATAGGAATCACAGGCAGAAAAGGTCGGTCTGCCTGGCCAAATCGGGTCAACAAAAATTTCAGCACATCCTCAACATCCTCTTTGAGGATTTTGGAAACTGGCAATGAACGTTGCCGAGTAAAAGTGATGCGATCAGTGAATCTTCGCATATGAGAATGTGGGATAATAGGCCACGTATGCAAGCCTTCAGTTGTGAGAAAATTCTCATGATAATGCAAAACAAAGAACATATACGCCAAGAGAGAACTCATTCCCTCCTCATAGAAATCGACAGCATTGCGGCCTTTGGCTCGAGCTGTGATTTGCTCTCGCAGTTGTTCATAGCTGCTGCGATGAGCAGCATGAAATAGCTGTTCCTCATCAACAGAAATCAAACCGGATTGAGCCGGAGGAACTGGGCTCTTTGGAGCCGGATTCTTGGGAGGTGTCTTGGGCGACGTGTTCTTGTGAAACTCCGGTGAGACAGCTGCCGCGACAGGCTCCTTGTTCTCCAAAATCGGGCCTGTCTCCGGTTTGCTTTGTGCATTGCCGGGAGCTCTAAAAGCTTGAGCAGCTTGATGTAATGCATCAGTAGCTGCTTGAGACTGCGAAGCAGGAGCTTGAACTCTGGGTGTTACTGGCCTTTGGCTCAGATTCCCAGCAGGAACACTAGGTACCCATTGCCCCGGCGGTCGCTGTGGACTGTTGCTGGGCCCTTTGTTTTCATGAGGCCGAGAACGGACAGAAGCCGGCTCAATAGATCTCGGTCTAGGCCGGGGTGGCATGTTTTCTAAGCTGGCCGAACGAAAAGGTGGGCGCATCGGAGGAACAGCACTGACCGACCTTGTTGGTGGTCGAGTAGGAGGCTGAGGGGGGGGCAGAACTGGTCGAACTGAGGCCGCGGGAGGTCCCTCAGGGTGACGTTCATGCCGATGATGTCGACGCCGTCGTCGTCTCGAGCGACTGCGATCATGACGCTCACGGCTGGGGTGAGTAGACTTGGCCGGCTCCCCCGGTGTGAGTTGAATTGGAAGCGGAGCTCGAGGTGGTGGGTGTACCGAAACCGACCGAGCTCTGCTAGCTTCCTGAGGAGTCGAAAGAATTGTAACCGGAGGTTGCGGTCCGCTTGAAGTCTGCACTCCAGGGGGTCCTCCGTAGAAGTGAAAATGGTATTGCTGGGCCATGGCTCTGGGTTGAAATATTCCTCCAACAGGCCGATATCCAGCTGAAAACCAATGCAGCTATGGTACTGAATCAGTAGCTCACGTGCACAATTAGGGACAAAAACATTGCAAAGAGGCAGCGAAACTCTCAATCGACAGACTTATTTGTTGACTTCATTGCAACGCATTCACAGGAAAACCTGCCTGTACATACAGTTGCTTGAGTCTGCGAAGTTGTCCCGGTCTTGACTCGGGGGGCCAGGAGTACTGGCGAATCAAAGATGCTCGAGAAAAGTATCCCGAGGCTGCCAGCTGCCACGATCCAGCGCTGTTGGGCGAGCGGATCTGCCATGGTTGCTCCGGGAGATTAAAAGTTGCTGAGCGAGTCTTGGCGCAAATGGTAAAACCCAACCATTGATGGTCTGACACAGTTTCCAACTGAATCCCATCATAAAAGTTAGGATCGCAGAATCTCCGGAGTTGGGACGACAGTAGAATTTTCTGAGGTCCCAGAATCAGTCTGTTATCGACGTAACGGAGAAACAAGAAAGACGATTGGATGGCCGTCGGCAAAGATTGCAAAAACTGCCGCTCGGCCAGGAGTACAGGAAGTCCGGAGAGGATCGGCGATATTTGATTGCCTATACACGTCCCCTCCACTTGCTGCCTGCACTTTCCAGCAGCTGTAAAAACTCCCGTGGCGAAGGATAGATCCACAATCAGCGGAACATCAGAAACCCAACACCTCTTTAAGTTTGATTTCGTTCTCCCCCGAGGTTTGCCCGGGTGTCCCGTTTTTGACAACATATCGATCGAGAGGATCGAACAGCCAGAAGTTTGGCAGTATTCTTGGACAATCAAATGCACTGCGTGCATGATGTCTTTTCGGGGAACTGCATTGAAAAATCCCACGAGATCGTCGTTCCATTCGACGTCTTCCTCTTGGCTGGGTTTCGCCCAATAAGCATGAAGAGACCTCCAGAGTTGTGGCATGCTCTGCATGCCTGGGCTGTCAGCAAACAGCGTCTTGACCATTAAGGTTAACGCAATGGAGGTCAGCTCCAATAGCTTGCTGCACAACGAATTGGAATACGAAATGATGGTCCGTCCCTTGGCAAACTGTTTCTTCCGTTTCAGGAACACAGTGCCTTGAGGCAGCGGAGCTGTTTCTTTGAAGGCCCAGGCGTATCTTCTGGACAGATCTCGAGGAACGCGCTCCAAAATGCGCTGTCTCCATTCTTCAGGGGTACCATCAAGAGTACGAAACACAGAGGGATCGTTCCATGTGGTGCTAACTCCTCGAAGGAAGAAGCGAGGACAATAGCACACGACATGATTCGGATGATGATCTTCGTTGTACAGAACAAAATCTGAGTGCAAGGCAGACTTCACCTTCTGTACCAAAGCCCAGTGTAGTCTGTCTGATTGTTCCAGGGCTGCAACATGTTGCTGCCACTGGTGGTCACAAAAGGATTGAAAAATTGGATGCAACGTCGCTGGTAGCTTGTGTCTCTTGAGCCACTGATCAAACAGAGCTCTGGACTTGGCCATCCAGTGATTGCGGCCTGGGAAAAAGGTGCTCGCGGCACTGGCCGATAAGATGCTCGAACAGCCTGGTAGTAGCTTGGTCAGGTTCTCCAAACCTGTGGCTACGTGGCCAGACACGAAGCAATGAGCAGGAAGTTTTCCTGCAAACTGCTCACACGGACAGTGCACCGACTCCAAATCAAAGTCGTGCTCCCACATCGTTTCTTCCCAAGATCGGAAGTTGTGGAGAAATTTCTTGATACTCTGGTGCGGAACTTCACGTAGGCTGTTCTTTGGAACATGAAAAGATGGAAAAAGATACTTGTACCGGAGGATGAGGTCTTTTAACCACTTCTCGCACTCCTTGGAAAACGAAGGAGACGCAGTTGGCAGGACTCCCAAAGGTCGGGAAGTCCGTGGCCAGTGCATCTTCTTGCGAAACTTGGCTACACCTTTGAGTATTCCTTGCACCCTGTTGCGATGAGGGTTTTCGATATTGCGACTGAGTTTGATGAGGGCATACACTTCCTCGTCAGCCGTCTTGTTGGATCGGAGCAGCTTCGCTGTTTCAAAGGATGCTCGGGTTCTCGATGCCAGCTTAAACAGAAGCCCCCAGGCTAACTCCCGAGAGTCATGAATGAAGAATTTCGAACTGCGACCAAACATGCGCTTTCGCAGTTTGCGCCAAAGTCGGAGGCCAAAGGTGCAATACAATGACCCTCTGCGTTTGGACGAAATTCGGAAACCGAGAGCGGTCTTCTTAATGAGAGACATTGCTCTGGGATAATTCAAAGGTGCCTGCCATTGAGCAATGAGTTCGTGCTCAACAGTCCAAGCTCGCTGGTAGCTGTCACAAAATTCCAGCGGAACAAGCACAAACTGGAAAAGGTTGTGTTGGGATGCCCAATATCTCAGGGACAATTCTGCATCCACAAATTCGGTTCTTTGAAGTCTTCTGTAGACTGCCATGCGGTTCAAATGCCGCTTGGCTGCACCGACAGCAGTGCTTCCCACATACAGAAGTGATGAGGGCTGACGGTAGCCCGAACGAAATCGACCCATGTCGAAATCAACTTGAAAAATGCAATATACAGTGTTCGGCTTCTCAAACAGAGAATAATGCAGAGTATCTGGATCCACTCCGAACTGCTGCAATCTCCGAACAATCTTGAATCTGTGTGAATCATCCTGGCTGGGTGCATTGAGATAAAACAACAACACCAACGACATCAATGTATGCACCCAAATCAGCGGAGTCTTGGGTATTCCATCGCCAAACTCCAACATGAAAGCTGCTGCTGTACCAAGCGTGCACACTGCTGAAGCAAGCCTCTTACGGACCTGAATCGGCTGATGTTGCACCGTTTTTGCTTGGGTAGCTAGTCAAGCTGATTCAAACTGACATGCACCAATGAACGAAGCCAAATTGGTGAATGACATCTTGCTGGCATGGCTTTTCTTCAAGCCGTACTTGATAGCGAGATCTGCCAGGCTTTGCCGATCAGTGGCTGAATCTTTCAGCACAGAGCAAACATCAGCCACATGTTTCTTAAAAGCTGCAGCTTGACCACGAAACTGGCTCTGATGCTTCTTGAGCCATTTTTCAACAACATCAGGGGAGCTGGAACTCGGAACAGAGTTCGGCGGATTCGGGAGTTCCGCATTCAAAATCTGCTCAGCTGACGGTGAAGGTGAAGCGGTGGGCTTTGGGCCAGTTTTGGCCTGCTTCTTCTCTGGAGTAAGAGCAATCCCAGCTTCCTTCAACTTTCGCTTCGCACGAGCAAGCTGTTCACTCTCAGGCGATTGCTGGCTTGAATCCGCCGGGGGAGGCGAATTGGCTTTGATTGTTGAAACAATTTCGCCAAGCAATGGCTGCATAAATCTCGCAGACTCCCTGTGCTTGTCAGGCGGAGCTGGGCCGTGCATATTTGCTGCCACGGCATCAAGATCAATCCGGTCTTGCCGAATGTGACGAAGCAGGTTAGTCACAAACACTGCTTCTGAAATCGACCTCACGAATACTAAGCTCTGAAATTCACCATTGGACAAACAGCGGAGACTGAAGTCATCAAGACCTTTTCTCGTCAGGTCTGAGACACAAAGATCGGCGACATCTTTTCCAGCCAGTCCAGCTTTCGTAGACCAGGGCGTGGATTGGATGTTACGAAAGAACTTCTTGCCAGAAATAGCATTCTTGTCGTAACACTCCCAGTCACTGGTAAAAGACGATGGGATGGCAACATTGGTGCTGGGAACAGACTGTTGAGGGGATTTTTGCCAGTCACGGTTGTTCCAACCCGACGATCCTTTCTTCTCCCAAGACGAACTAGCCCAGGACGACTTGGCCCAATCTTGTTCACGGGTCCACGACATGATCGCAAAAGATTGCTACAGGCTTGTGTCTCGGAGCTGAAATCGTGGTCTGCGGATAGAAAAGCCGTTGGTTCCATCGGATCTGCAAAAATTCAGGACCTGCAATGAAACCTGGCATCAAACCTGACATTAAGTCAGGAGCAGAGAAAACATCGCGACTGAAGTAATCAGATGTCTGCACCATCGGAGCAGCAAATTCAGTCGGACCTGTGAGGACCACGACGGGCCCAAAACAATGTATCCCTGCCTTTATCAGATCCACCCTGGCAGGTACTCGCACGGGCTAACCCCGCCGCAGGTAGCGCGGTAAACGAATACAAGACCAGCTTGTAACTACCTGGGACACACTTAGACATCCATCGCGCAGCCACTAATCAATCTGGTTATCAAGCACAGCTTGATGTATCTCGAAAGCATGAAGCTTCCAGGGGGTCCGGTACCTATCTGGCCTCAAGGCTCATCTTCACTTGATCTCTGACTTTTCCACTGTACAAGGCAAAATCTCCCAGACATGCACATGAAACTGCACTGCACTCCTACTCGCAATCAACAGTTGTGTGGTCACAAGCTGCACGAAAGTGCCCATGCCGACCACTGCAGGTACGTTTACCTGTCTCAATATCACGGAGCTTCGTTGGCAGAGGCCGTGAAATGAGACCCTCTGCCCCCTGCAATTTTCTGTAATTCAGCACAACTGTCCAACGTGTTTCAAAAACGGTTCCTCTTGGTAACAGAGGTCCACACACACACACACACACACTCTGCAATGCATGGAGGGCGAGCAGAGCTCTCTCTTGCTTGCTCTATGGCCCCCACCACCCTTTTCGGAGGGGATCCGCGCATCCAGGGTCCAGCGCCAAAGTGACCGTGAAACTTGAAGAAACTGTGCACTTTGCACCTTTAGAGTGCTCCTCAAAGCCGGTCCCCGCCTCGACACCCCGAACCAGCCCGAACCTCGCACGAAACTGCCTTCGCCTACCTGAAGCCCCGAAGCCTACCCCGAGGTAGACATGACATGAAGCTCTGCAGCACAGACATCCTCGGCAGGACTCCGTGGCGGGGTCGTCCCCACTGGCTGCAAACACGGAGAAACCGACACGACAGCATGACTGACCAGCGCTGCTGTTCGCAGGGGCACTTCTGTGGGTGAGCTTAAGCAAGAACTCGGTTTAAGAGGAAGCAAAACAGGAAGCTTCCGCCTTCTCTCGCTGTCTCTCTTTCGCTCACACTCTCTCTCTCTCTCTCTCTCTCTCTCTCTCTCTCTCTCTCTCTCTCTCTCTCTCTTTCTTTCTGCAGGGCGTAGGGGTCGCGCGCGCCCCCCAGGCCATAGGCCCGCCCAGCTCACCCTCTCTCTCTCTCTCTCTCTCTCTCTCTTTCTTTCTTTCTGCTGGGCGTAGGGGTCGTTCAGACCCTCAGGCCATTGGCCCGCCCAACCCACCCACTGTGTTAGTGAGCGGTTGGCTTTGGGGTTCTTCCTGAGCTCGGCAGAGAACTACTTAGTGTGTCCCGGGTTTTCCTGCAGCGAGCCCCACCCTTTACGCTAAACCGCCCGCGTCCCGGCCTCTTCGCCGCGCCCCTATGGCTACATCCCCCACGCAGGGCTCGCTGGTTTGTTCCCCCCGGTTGGCAACACTAGTCTGCAGGGCAATGCCGGGAAAGTGCAACAAGCTGGCTGACCGTAACTAGTATTTCCAAGGGCCTACCGGTACATGTGCTGCATTCCCCTGCTTCTTTGCTTGCTACAGGTTTCAGAAAGGGCTGCACACCATTTGGGTTCCCGGGGAGTTCGTGTTGGGCCCAGGTAAAAACGTAACAAAAAGTAGTCATGGGCAGGGCAAGTGTACTTCGCTCCCCGGGTTCTCCCCTGTGTTTGTGGGCTGCACTGTTGCTGCGCACACTGTAGTACAACGTAACTGCTAGAAGCCCTGTTGAAGTCCCTAGTGGCAAGCTGTGCGCAGGAGTTGTGCAGTGCCCCCAAGGTGAGACTAGCAGTACTTGGGGTCTACACAGAGGCCTCATTCGGAACAACACGTCCTATCACACAGCTAGTTGCAGGTACCGTTGGGCCCCCAGGCTGAAGCATCCCTAAGAGGCTCTGGGTTAGTTGCTCCAGTGGCAGCACCAAAGAAGGACGAACCCCCAAAACCCCAAAAACAACAACCCCCTATAGTCATCATTGTCGAGAGAACTGGGGTTGGAGAAACGGCGTCGCGGCTCAGATGACGCTCGTGGTGGGAACTCAGTAGGAAGGCCAGCCCCCGCAGCGGTGGTAGGTCTTGTCGAGGTACTGGCCGCCTTGCTCCCTGTCGTCTCCCCGTCGTCACTGACGAGTTCCACGTCGCTCCCCCAGTAGCTGCGGGTCCAGGCGTCAAGCTCCCCCAGTGCGGCTGTGGCCTGCTTTTGGGTCTCCCCCTCGAGGAAAGGGAGGAGCTGTCGCAGCTTCTTCTTGGCTCGGAAGACGTGCGTGGCGTCAGGTCCTTCGTCTCGTAGCGCTCGTTGTTGTGGTAGTCCCCCACGTTCGGCTCGTGGTAGGTCTTCTCCCCCGCGTGGTGCCGCCACTCTGTTCGGGTGGGTGCGCATAGCTTCTTGCGCCCCCCTGTGTGGGTAGATTCCCACCAGCGCGTCCACTCCAGCTGCTGCCTGGTCCAAGAGGTTCCGTAGCACCCCCAGGCGGTCCATGCCTAGCGGGTAGGTCGCCAAGAGTGTTTGGAGCACCACTTCTGCCTCTTCTGCCGCGTCGGTCGCGTCGTGGGTGAGCTGCCAGTTGGAGGATCGTAGGCCTCCCCACAGGAGCGCGGAGCCGCTTTGCAGCCAGTTCCATGACTTCCGCTAGCTCCCCCTGTGTGGGCGGGTCCCCTCGTTGCACTCTGTCGTCATAGATGCCCGCCACGAGCGCGGCGATTTGGAAGGCGTTTGGCGTGGGCGGGGGGGTGATCCCCCTCCGGCCCATGTCCCCCCCATCGCCAAACTGAGGCTTGTAGCAGCGGCAGCTAGGTGGCTTTCCACCCCGTACAGCTCTATGCTGCGTGCCATGGCCATGGCTTCTTGGAGGAGTTCCGCCGCCGCTTCGGCTTGAGCCTGCGCCTTGCTCCCCACTGCTCTTTGGTCCCCTCTAACTCTTCTGTCTCTGTCCAGGTGGTCCCCTTCGTTGCCCGTGACTTGTATCCGGGCTGACGCTGCTTGAGGCTCCCCCTGTGCTTGCTCTGCTGCTGCTAGGGTCTCCTCGCTGATGCTTCGCATCAGGTCGGCTGCTTGGTGCCGCGCCTTCTTCAAGGGGGTGTCGGTGGAGCTGGTGGCTTGTCCCCGCTTGCGTTCCTCCTCCATCTGTAGGAGCCACGGGAGGAGGTCGGGATCTTCCTCATCTGTGGTGTTGTCGGCTGGTGCTGTGGCTTGAGGGCTGCTTGGCCGTATGGAGGCAGCATGCCATGGCAGTGTGGTGCCTGTGTCTGTTGCTGCTGCGTCGGTGGTGTGGCTGTGGTCATCGCATGTGGTTGTCTGCTCCCCTTGGGGGGCGTCTGCCTGCCCGTTGGGCGGGTCTCCTCTGCTGGGGGATGGTGCTGTTCTCCCCGTCTGCATGAGCTCGGTGTGGTCTGCTTCTGGTGGGTCCTCACTGGGCCAGCTTGTTTCTGAGTCACTGGGGGGTGGTGGCGGAGGCCTCTTCGGTGTAGGTGCCAGTCTCTGTTGTCCGTATGCTTGTGCCGGCTGGAAGGCTTTGCGTGCTGCTGCGGAGTAAAAGGAGAAAGTTCCTCCCCCTGTTGTGGTGTCGGGGGCTGTGTGGTGGTGTGGGTGGTCCAGGGTGTCCCCTGGGGTGGCTGGTGGATCTTTGGCTTGCCCTGCTGTGTCCGCATCGGGCGTGGGCTTGTCTGGCGGTGTGCCTTCACTGGCCTCTGGGCCCGCTGCTGTGTCTGGTGTGGTTGGCGTTGTGTCTGCTGTTGGTTTTTCTGCGGTGGCTGTATTCTCCTGGTCTGCCCTCGTGCTGACTGTGGCTGTTGGTCGTGACTGTTCTGTTGCTTGTGTGTGGCTCTGGGGTTGTTGTGGACCGTGGTGTGTGGTCGGGTTCTGGCTACCCTGACTGCTGCTGGAGGGCTGTGTCGGCTGTGGTCTAAGATGTGCTGTTGGCGGTCGTTCCGCTGGCTGTGTGTGTTGGTGGGCAGTGGTTGGCTGTGACTGTTCTGCTGCACTGGTGTGGTGGCTTTGGGGTTGTTGTGGTGTGGCTTCGGTGGTGGGTTGAGGGCTCCCCCTCAGCATGTGCACGGCCCAGGGGTGCACTGCTTCCTCTCCCCATGCTTCGTCTGCTGGATAGATGAGGGGGAGCTCCCCCGTCTGCTGGCTCTGCGCAAGGGCTGTTGCTCTGTAGGCTCGTGGCTCGTGTGGGTCACGTTCGGGAATCTGGACCGTATGCCTTGCTGCCCGGATCGTGGCGAGGGTGGCGGTGTCCCGCTGGAGCTGCTCAAGCTCGTGTTCTTGCAGGTGGGCACTGAGCTGTGCTGGTCTCCCCGTGGAGTCTAGGCGTGCACGGGTGAGCAGCTCCCCGTCCTCTGGGTCCATGTTTTCTATTCTCCAGCACCCCTGCTGCTGCTGCCACGTGAGCGGTAGTGTCCGGGGCGTAGGGGTAGGCTCCCCGGTTCGGCTTGGCGGGGGGTGGCCCTGATAAACAAGTGCCACGGGGCTCCCCTTGGTTCAGGGGGTGTAACTCGAATTGCATCCCCATCGAGAAAGCCCCCCCCCCCCCTGCCGGCGGTTTGCCGCACGCGAGCAAAGCCCCGTAGGCGAGCTGTGTTGTAGCTCGGAGAGGTTTGGGCATTGCGTGCCATCACTGCCCCAACCCAGCTGCCGTGGCCTATGTACCGGAAGTGGCCATGTGTGTACCTGCTGAGCGGCAGCTCTGGAGGGAGCGTTCGTGGGGGTAGGTAGCCTCCCCAAGAGCCGATGTAACGACTCCCGCCTTCCACCCATGATATGGGGGAGTCGAGCGGCATGGGTCCTTGGCTTTGCCCGCTGCTGCTGCTGCTCGTGCTGTCAGGTGGCGTGCTGATGGTGTCGTTGCTCCCCCGCTGGCTCGTGCTCCCGCTTGGTGGTGGTACCGTTGTTGATCCTGTGTCGTTGTGGTGTGCGGGGGGTGTTCTCGGGGTGTTCCCCGATCTGGCTTTGGCTTTGGCTTTGCTGTGGCGGTGGCTGCTGGGGATTGGGAGGTGCCGCCCGTCGCGGCTGCGCTTGTTGGTTGTGGCGGCGGTCGTCCGGTGGCTGTTCCCCGTCCTGGCTGTGGCGTGGCGGTGGCTGCCGAGGCTTGGTGGGTGCTGTCCGTTGCGGCTGAACTTGCTGGTTGTGATGACGGTCGTCCGGCGGCTGCTGACTGTGTTGGTGGCGTCCAAGGCTCCAGGTGCTTGTTCAGTGCCGTGGCGAAAAGAGCCCTGTTGGCTTCGTATCGCCGCTGTGCTTCTGTGGCTTCCTTGTTGCCCCTCTGGGGTTCCCTCCCCGCTGCCGCTTCTGCCTCCTCATAGCGCCTCTGTGCTTCTGTGGCTTCCTTGCTGCCCGTCTGGGGTACTGCCCCCGCCGTTGTCTGCTGTGGCGTCGTTGCTGTGTCCGTATCGTCATCTTCGTCCTCCTCATCGTCGTCCGGGGCAAATGCTTGCATGCCCACCAGCGGTCCAGCTTGGTTCCAAGTGAGGTGGGCTGGTTTGTCGATCCCCCTTCTGGCGAACTCCTTTTTGATCTCCCCCTTCTGCCATTTGTTCCCTCTTCTCTGATCCCCCTGTCCTTCATGCTTGTTGCTGGCTGCAGCCGTGCAGCCTTCGCCGCCCCCTGCGTCCCCCCCTTGCTCCTGGCATCCGTCTGTAAGCTCGTCGTTGGGGTGTGGAGGGTGCGGCGCTGGTCCCCGGCCGAGGTCTGCTGGAGCTTGTGGTGGGATGGCCGCGCGCGTGTTGCTTGGCCCTGCTGCGGTGGGGTCAGTTGGCTCGTGTGGCAATGCTGTGTCAGTCGACCTGCCGGTCTCGCCCGTGGCGGTGGCGGTGGCAGTGCTTTGTGCGGGCTGGTCATGGCTGTCTGCGTGGTTGTGGCTATTGGCGGGTTGTTCACGGCTCTGGGTGGCTGCAGCTGTCTGTGGTGTTTGCTGCGACGAGCTCATTGCTGGCTGTTGGTTGTGTGGTGGTTGCCCTTGGGCCTGTGGTCGGGGGGCGGCCGTCCCCTCCTCTGTTTGGAGGGTTGAGGTGCTCGGCTGGTGTTCGTGGTGGTCGTGGCTGTTGGTAGCCTCGCTGCAGAGCCATGGGTCGTTGTTGGGGTCGTATGTTAGGGCGAAGCGCCCTCCATCGGCGCCGTGTACCCAGCCAGACCATGTGGCTGTCGCTGCTGCTGGCTGCCACTCCTGTTGCCAGGATCCTTGTTGCTCTGTCGGCGGGTGCTGCGTCGCTCTCTCTCTCTCTCTCTCTCTCTCTCTCTCTCTCTCTCTCTCTCTCTCTCTCTCTCTCTCTCTCTCTCTCTCTCTCTCTCTCTCTCTCTCTCCTGTAGATTTTCGTTGCGCGCTTATCGTTTTTGTCATGCTGTTGTGTGTCTATCCATGCCGTCACATGTAGTTATGATTGCCTGGTATCAGCACGTGTGCATTTACAGGGGTTGCGTGTACTCGAGCTTGGGGAAGCATTGTGCAGAGTTTGAAACCCGGACAGACGAAAGAGCAAAGGTTGGCTAACCAAAACCGGGCGATTACTGCAAATACTGCTGTGATATGCGTACTCATGACATAAATCATAGTACAAGTACATCTTATAACAGAACTACACAATACTTCCATATACTTCCCATAAACCCATGATCCTGCACGGTACCGCACGGCTTGCGCAACGTTGTAACTGCATCAGAAGGGCTCCAGGGAAGGGTTGCAGGGTGCCAGCGGCTCAGCGGAAACGGCATCACCTCAAGCTCTGGAAGACTGTATGAGCGCTGCAGGTTTGTCGGAAAGTTGAAGCGATCTTGGGCGAAGCGGTCCACAAACGCTCATCAGTAATCGCGGGGCATGTGGCGCCTGAGTACTAGTGTTGGGAATTTGCATTTACCTCCAGTTCTGCGTTTGCTAGCCATGGTTGGGTTCATTGCAGCCAACCCCACCTCGCAGCGTGGCGATGCAACGCTGCGCGCCCGTCAAGGCCACGGTGGCGCCTTCCTCGCTGCGTGGTGCTGGCACTTCACCGAGCAAAACTCTCGTCCTAATGGTCTCTCATGCCTTGACGATATCCACCGTGTCCAGAACACCATCCTTCAAGACACCCGGACCTGCAAAGGAGTGCTCGTTGTCTCTGATGAGGTTGCCGCATTCAAGCTAAAAATCATTCAAACATCTACACTCTACACCATTCGGCGCATTGCATCGCAAGGGCCTTTCTCTCGAACTTCCACCACTGCCCTTCCAACTTCATCCACAACCCACGACACCGGCTGCTTTGGGATCACGTCCGAGTGCGCTCGCACGATGTCCACAAGCACCTCCTCGCCGGTGTCCATGCCTCGGAGTTTGAGCACGGATGCCAGCTGCATACCTACGCGTGGCTACGGGGATGAAACGAATCGGTCTGAATTGATTGCTGGCATCATCTGCAGGAAGTCAGGCAGTGAGTCAAACTTCGCCCCAAGTAGAGTGACGACCTTCGATAGCTCGAAACAAGCCGGAGATGCGCATCACACGCGCTCTCGGAGGCTCGGAGATGCTGTCCACGGCATAAACTTTGGCCATGACTGGTGGCTGACCTGGGTCCGCTCTTGAGATTAAGACCGGGTCAGGCATTTCCCATCAACCTGGGGTCGGCCCGACTGTTCTGGAACGATGACTGGTGTGTTGGTGAAGAGAGCTACTGCCTGCATCCATGCGCTTCTGCATGCCAAAGCTGCCATTTGACAGGCTGATCTGCACCTGGAAGCATGCGTTTCAGACCAGACAAGATATTCCGTGCGGTTCACTCGGGATTGATCCACATAGGGGTTAGGTAAAAACCCCCTGTAGCTGTTGAAAGAAATGCTTTTCGGATGCCTCCTGGTCGCATGAGCAGATCCCCTCACCGATAGTTCTGCCAAAACCCATCACATTCAAAGACGAGTTCGGCAGCATACCCAGACTAGCATTTTGATCCAGGGAGTGCGATCTGATCTCCTGCTCTCCCGCGTGCAACCCCCAACTGCTGTTGTCTGTGCCATGTTCGTGATCTGGCGAATGCACACCCTAACCAAAAAATACTCTACTGCGGCTTGCACCGCTACAGTTGCTGGTCTCCGACATCTTTCTGCAAGTCCACACCAGCAGCTGCAAGGCTATGTTATCTTGAGTCGGACGTTCCCTTGACAACGCCTCATCGCCCGACTCCGGCGCCCGACCATCGGGCTCGATGCGCAGCAAGGGCCGTTCCTCGCACACGTGGATCGGAGAGGCACATATACTCTCTCTAAATCCACGGATTAACCCTCAAAAAGGAGGCAACCGATCATCGCCCAAGGCTCAAGGGAGAGCAGCTGTGCGGTGCCGTTAACGAGAACGCCTCCTGCGCATTCATTAGCACCCCGCAGGCGCAAAGCTTCACCGGAACCTAGGGCTTAGGGGTGGTATACTATCCCATACTCGTAATAAGGAACCCCCAAAACAGTAATACGTGGGGCTCTCCTGCATCCTGAACCAGGTCCACTGCATCCAAGGTGGCATCCTTCAGTGCTCCCCAGGCTCCCTTCTCACGGAAGTCGTCGATGGTGCCTGTAATCTCCTGGAGCTGAGTGCTAAGTCTGGATAGAAACACAGCGTCGCGGATCTGTCTGGGAGTCGACCGAAATCGCTGTTGGCGCAGGCTTCCCGTACAGTAATTATCGTCATTATTATAGATCGATATCATCATTATCACCATCATCACCAGACCTTCCGCAGGGGTCCTCCCGCAGTGCATTCCACAGATACGCCATAACCTGCACACGGATGACAGACTCTCCATGCGGTGACAACATGCGTAACATACCTAGTCAGTACAGTAGTCGGCTAGGAGTCGAGCAATTTACAGCCACACACACACACACACATTTGCTTGATTGAGTCCCGGCTGCTGTACAGCTTCGTCAGGGGCAGCTGCTCCAAAAAAAACAGCTTGAGCAAACAAGAGCTTGACATGAAACTAGCATCTCGGTCCACCTGCATGCCATGTTCAGAGCCGCCGAATCTCAAACTGCCAGGCTGCCGTCACGGTTCTCTTGTCCTGACCCTGACCCCTGCTACTCTGCTACTGCTACTATAAAAGAAATAATAATAACAATAATAACAATAATGATGATGATGATGATGATAATAATAATAATGGTAATAACAATGGTAATAAGAGTAATAATATTAATACTTATATAGCAACTATAGTACCCGGAGCCCAAGCACAGCCAGGAGCTTCTGAGCTTCTTTCCACAGCCACTCAGCGGCGTCCAGGGATTTCAAGCTGCTGGTGGGCGTCGGAAGCGGCGGAGTGGCATATGACGGCTCGGTGCTGGCTTCCCTGGTAGCTGCAGACCGTTGCAGGCCTCAATCTCGAAGTGCCTCTCGTCCGACTTGACGTTCCCGATCTTCGCTTGAATAGCTCATGTTGCCTTCTTCTGGAGCCTTTCCAGCTGTGCTTTGACAGCATTCTGGCACTCATCACGCAGGACAGCGCTCACCTTTGCTTCAACACTCTGTGGCCCAGAGAGCTCGCAGACCCAATTCCGAAAGTTTCCTGAGATGCCATGGCGAGGCGTCTCAGACCTACGACCACCCCTTCCCAGAATCCCGCAGCTAGGGGTCGCTTGCAAGCAGCGTAGGCCGCAGGAGGCGTTGATGCCAGGTGCAGTGCTCGCTGCGTTGCCAGCTCGTGCAAGTCTTGAGCTTCGCAAAGCTCATCTACAAGTCCTCACAAAGCAACCGTCTGGGAACCGTTCGGAGTCTGGCAAGCAGATTGATGCAATGCGTCTAGGGAATACAAATACAGTTCAGCTGACTTGACATTGACTTGACTCACCCGTATCCCAAGCTCCTAGCTGTGCTGCGTGTGGAGCACCGAGCAGCTGCCCCTGCAGCAGCAACCTTTCGGCCTTCGCAGAAGCTCACAATGTCAAAGTCAGCCTGTCCACGTTTTTCTACATTTTGACTCTGACTGGGCGGCCTCGCGGTAGCCCACAACACGCTCCAGCAAGGCCTACCCGCAAGACAGGCATACTCTCTTCCTCGCTCGCTCGCTCTCTCTCTTGCCCTCTTCTCATTCTAAGGTCTAAGCATCCACCCTGTTAGATCTGCTGCGAGGCTCTGGCAGCACTTTAGCGCTTGGTCTGCCCTCGCTTCCCCCACATGGTTCAAACGCAGCGGACGTCGCATGATGGACCCGACCTGCATCCACCGCGATGGCTGCACTCCTGCACATCTTCTCTCAAACTGCTCCTGAACCAAAGAGGACAGACGCCTAGATTAGACAGCCCCTTCAACTTCAAACCCCTAACCCTAGAACCGAAACCCAGGCCCACTCAATTAACCCCAAACCCGCCACGGTCCTATGGCAGCCTCGTTCAAGCCGATGATGGCGCGGTCATTGGAGACCATGATCCGGTGATCGCAGCTGAGGGCCATCACGCAACCTGAACGGGCTTTAAGATTCCGGGGTATCTTGGTTGTACCCCATGTCAAGGCTCGTCAGTAATCCCGACAAGGAGACACGTAGACACTGCAAGAACTTTCCTCCAGCCGCCCCTTCCTCGAGATCTCTCCAAGATCACTCGGGATTCAGGCAAGGGAAAGGATCTCCTCCGCATTTGTGTCCGGAGGAAACCGTCCCCAAAACTCGCTCTGAGGTAGTACCCCGAGCATCAGCTGCAGAACGTTTGAGCCCCGGTCTTATGCGGGCACGGACATAGGCAAGTGAGGCCTCGAGGTCATCCGCTAGTTGGGGTTGAATGCTTACAAGAGCCCACACCGATGGTCAGCCCCGAACAGCTGGCCATAGCGCGCCGGATAAAGCTCTGAACTGAGAGCATACGGCACGGTACGATGCTACGTAAGTCCAAAGGGTGGAGCGGCCGAAAGCGGCCAAGACATTCAAACCTGCACCCCGAAAAAGGGTTCTCATCGCAGTCATAGTCCAAGTTAGTCCAACGGCCCTTTCTGAATCGTTTACCTTTGGAAGCATAAGAGATTGGGCCGAGCGGCCCCACGCAGGGCTGGAACCGTTGATGGCCGCAACTGTAGGCAAGGGATACAGGTACAGAGATCGCCACGTCTCCTCCATCTCAGTCCAGAAACTAAACAGCCTCAGCCAGCTGGCCAGGGCTTCGTTCACAGCGCAACCTGCCTGAAGAGATTCCTTTTGCAGGTAGCACTTGTTACTTGTTGAGCGGCCTGTTGGACTTTTTCGAACATGACAAACCGAATCGTACCCTCTTCGCCTCTGCCAGGACTCAAGAGGATGCCCCTGCTTGCAACTGAGCTGGTGACTCTGCTCGCGGTTGCGTAAAGGTTGTCAGGTCTAAACCACCGCAGAAGCACTTCAGATCGCTGGTCAGGACAACCGCCTGGGCTGGGGCTTCGCGCCTCAAACCAACAACATCACTGCAACGAATGGTTCGCGCCTTGGCTTCGTGCTGGACATCTTGAAGAGCAGCACGGAGGGTCTGTAGCAACCTGACATCGCCATGATGGAAAGGCAACCTACATACACTCACCGAGATCACCAAATCCTGCATTGACTGCGCCCCAGCTGCGGTGAAGGAACGCTTTGTTGAATGCATTGACCGGCGCTCGGCTCATGGTCAACGTCGCCACCCGGTGCTGGGAGATGCTGACATCGATGCTCCGGCGCAGCAGGCTGCGCAGCATACCGGCAAAATCCGGCAAACGATCGATGGCTACCTTCAGGCCTTCTTGATGCAGCAGGCAGCAAGAAGGAAGACGCATCTGACTGTGACCACTATGCGAAGCCTCTACCTTCTGAGTGCCGGGCTGCTTCCGCAGCTACTGGGCCTCGGCTTCCGTCCCGGACAGAGACCTATGCAGTAAACTTCAAAGAAGCTCTGCGGGGAATCCAAGGTCTGCGGTCTGTCTGCAGTGTCAGGTCAGAGCATATGCATTGCAAGCCTCAGACGACTCAAGTGTCGCGAGGCGGATTCCCAGATCAAGATTTCCTAACAAACAGAGACATTGTCTTGTACTAAATCAGGTCGCATTGCATTACAGTGCTGCCGTTTGTGGTCTAGACCAGGCAATAGAACACTCTAGTGTATTACTTCACCCTAAATGCAGAAAACGAAAGCCCCACGCACCCGAAAGATACCCAAAGCCCTTCAAGGCATGAAGTAACTACTACTTCTCTACTTGTAGCATGTCATAGTTGATAGTATGGTATAGTATCAGTATAGTAAGATAAAGAAGTGATTACACTAAGTGTGTGATACCCAAAACCGGTTCTCTCAACTCTGCTCCGGTTCGCTCCGAGATCGCCGAGGTCCTGGCGGGGTCTCAAAGTCCTCGGCAAAGGCCTCCTCAGGGCTTTAATATAGGGGCCTTCTTGCTGTAATTTCGTGTACTTTAGGGGCCTGAATAACTACTAATACTATTTTAGGACAATTACAGTATAATGGGCTAGATTCGGGTTGAGGGTTTTCGAGGCTCACAATCGCACCAGGCGAGGGTTTTAGGGGATTTAGGGATTTGGGACCTAGGTGTTTAGAGGTTTGGGGTCTTTCGGGCTTCTGGGGTTTAGGCCTGGTTCAAGAGCTTCGGGGTTTGAGAAGCTTTAGTTGGGGTTTGGGGCTCCATAGTCTCACAACTTGTCTCCACTCTTACAACGAAGGCTTCACCAGCTGCGACTCTGCACCGCATGCCAGGCTGATTCTGCCAACTCCCCCCGGCCTCAGCCTTTGTCGCTTCTGGGGTCTCCGATTGGAGCAGCTCGGGCCTGGGAAATCCGCCGTTTGTCATCGAGATTCGGAAGAAGAGCAGTGATACAAATCGCAGAGAGCGGAGCTGATGGTTAATAACAACAGCGACATCACCATCGCGGTGAAGCGGCATCATCGTCATGCCACTGGCAACATGCCACAAATGTTGCACAATATCGAGCACCTGCGAAGAACAGTCACACCACACTCTCCCCCCCACGGGGTGCTTGACAGTCTCAACAACGTGAGATTGACGCCTGCCCGAGCTCTGTTAGGCCCCGCGCGCGTTGAGCAATGGGAGCTCTTCCACCTTTGCACCTGTGGTAGCATGAGGCTTCGCAAGAGTGCACAGCTCAACGTGCAAGCTGTGGACGGCACCAGATCCAACCGCACGGACGTTGGGCATGGCTGCTCGGTTCTTATGGAGAGGACAAGTGGCTGGGAAGCTTGATGGTTGAGATCTCACAGAAAGGGGGTGATGCTCTCGTCGTACTGCTGGCGGTCTCAAGGGCGCGGCTGTTGGCAGTTTCGCAAAAGAAGTGAGACATGTATACCAAATGAATATATATATATATATACAGAATAAAACAATATATATATATATATATATATATATATATAATCTTATACAGTATACTTGTACCAGATCATCTTGAGTGGGGAAGACTTGAGAAGGCTGATTGCGAGCGGAGGCTGCCCCCACAGCTCCCTTCACCTTACCTTTGGTTAGGTCTGGGAATACCTAGGGTTCCTTTAAACTTTAAAGGGATCTATAAGGGATCTATAGGGATCCTTCACCTTACCTTTGGTTAGGTTTGGGAATGGGAGAATGGTAGTCATAGTAGTTATATGGTAGTAATATGATAGTAATATGATAGTAATCTGGTAGTAATATGGTAGTTATAATTGTACCCCATTCCTCCATTCTCTACTAACCAAAGGTAAGTCACGCATGTGCACCGGCCTGTGTTGCCGGAGCGCCACAGAAAACCCAATTGCACCCGTCTAGCAATCGCGAGAATTACTGCGCGCCTGCTTGCCGGAGTGGCCAATATCACGGAGGAGGATTAGGCATACGCACTCAAGTCATACTCATGAAGTCGAGGTCGAGGCCAAGCGATAACCGGACAGATGGCTGGGACGTTTTGGGCTGGACGCTAGGCCGCTAGGGCTTGTCTATGCTCTGACCCTCGCACAATCTCGGACTCCGCCGAATGAGATCTTGGTCCACGGGTAGGTCAGTGTGAAACACCAAAAGTTGGCATAGGACCCGTCCTGAGTCCAAAACCCTTCCCTAAGACCTTCTCATGGAAACTTGCTCTCACCGAAGTGCCAAGGCCTCTTTGCTGACCACATTCGCTTCTGGGTCGCCCATTCTGAGTTGGCGAATCTTCGTTCTCTGGAGCTGTCGGACGACTCGGGTCATTTCCTCTAAGAGACCACGCACCTCCATGTTTAGTGTGTCGAGCCCCGTGCCCTCGAATGCCGAAACCTGGAGGGCGTCCGGATAACGAAGCAAGAGGGACTTGATGTTCTCCTCGGTCTCTGCCTCCTCAACATCGATCTTCGTGATCACGTCTAGCCAAGGCCTTCGGGGGAACTTTGCCCTCAAAGCTTCACGCAGCTGCACTTGCTTCTCCACGTCAAGGAGCCCGTGCGTATACGGGTATGGGTCGAAGACGAAGACCACTGCCGTCGGAAGGTGCTCCATGGAACCCATGGTGAGCTTGTCCATGAGGTTGTGATCTCCACCAGAAGTCCTGAGCCCGGGCGAGTCAACGATCTGACCGTGGATGAGGAGCGGTGTTCCGGCGATGAAGTGCCAAAGGTGGCCGATGGTCAACTTCTTTGTCGTGTACGGATAGCTGTTCACCTCCGGCCGGCCCGTACTGATCGACCGCACCAAGGAGGATTTCCCCACGTTCGGAGCCCCAACAAAAACCACCGTGGGCTTATCCAGATCGATGGAAGGGGATTTGAAGATCGCCCTCTGGCAGCCGATGAACTGCTGGAAGACGGGCTCCCAGTCCGTCACCAGGTCAAACATCTCCTCGATGCCCTCGTCGGCGATGAAAGTCGCCAGCCTCCCGCGTTCCGCCTGCATACTTCCGGTGGCACGGTATGTGCCGAGCTCGTGAATCTGGCGCCGCAAGTCCTTGAGACAAGCCAGGGCTTTCCCAAAGGCCACGCCTGTCTTGTTCCAGTGCTGTGTGAGCGCCAGCTCCACACTCAAGCGCTCGAAAGGATGCAGCTGCCTGATCAAGCGAGGATACTGTAGGACGGCCTTCAACTGCCGATTGATGAAGTTCCTCACAAATTTCACCCGGTCCGAACCGTAGACCCTGAACCTCTGACGGATGTCCATGATATGATGCTTGATTTTCACCTCTTGGCGGGTGGTGATCTCTTTTCTGCACTGGTTGACCATGTCGATCGCGGAGGTGAGCTCCTGGATCTGCCGTATCTCTGTCAGGGAACCCAGGATCGGCTCGTCGGAGTAGTCGTAGATGGCATCTTCCCCGAACTTTCCGCCCACGCCGTCGTAGACCTCTCTTTGCTGCGGATCGCTGAGCCATCGGAAAGCCTCCTGGGCCTGGATGAAGACTTGTGCAGCATCTTCGGACGGGTTCACGTCCGGATGCGTCTCACGGATCACACGCTTGTAGGCAGCCCGGATTTCATCCTGTGAGGCGAGCTTGTCCACACCTAGCACTTCGTAGAAGTTCACGCCTTTGGGCAGATCATCCGAAAGACGGACGCGCTTGTACTGCTTTGTCGCTGCCAAGCGTGTCCTCCGTGCACGGCGCGAGGAGCCTCCTATGTGGCTTAGCACTGCCACGAAAGAGCCAGCTGCTACAAACGCACCACCGAGGCCATGTGGCCCATGTCCTTCGCTTTCCCAAGCTTTGCTAGGCCATGACCGGCAGTCGGCTGCACCAGCCGGGCCGGCGAAAGTTGGGTGCCTCGAGGCGACAGGATCAGCGACGCAGCCGATCATGGCAGAACGATGCCTAACACGCAGTATTGTATGCGCTCGTCGTATTGTGGGCAGTAGCCCGTTGGTTGCCAGTTTTTCTCTGATTGATGAGTGTGTAGCTGCGGAGCTAGCATTCTCCATTGGGAGGTTCCCGCAAGCTCAGGTGGCAGAGCAAGAGGTTCTCTAATGCTTTGAGATATTCTCGGTGTTGCTGTTCATTTCCCGTCCGGGCTTCGGATGTCGCGTTTATGACATGAAGCCTTGGGTGAGGAGCTTGAGCCTTCGCCGTTATTTGAGGGCTGGTTCAGGATTTCGGAAATTCTCGCTCCAGCTCTAGGATGATCTCGGATGCGGGCTTGTTTTTTCGAGCATCAGGCGAATTCGACATAATTCGACTTGCCCGGAGATTTTGGGCCCCATGCTGCCGTCAATTACAGCGACACCTCACTTTGGTGAAGCTTTCTCTTCAGGACCCGCTAACTGCTAGCTTCACCCTCAAATATCACAGTTGCAAAGCTGATGTCTGAACCGAGCTTGCAGGCTTTCCAGCAGTTGCTGGACCGCCGTTTGCCCACGGGCCCCGGGTCTCAGACGACCGCCGTGGCATGCAAGAGCCAATTTGTACCTGACAGCACAGGCTACTGCAGAATCTGTCTCGGCTCGCGAAGACATGGTCAACACTGTGTTTGGCTTGGAAGAGTTGCGGCACTCGTGGTCAGCTCCTCGCTGCCCCGGCAGGCGCGGTTGACCTTGGTTACTTAGTTCTGTCCCAGCACATATGACCGAATACCTCCGGAGACAATTTCCCGGCCCCTGTCGATTGAATCACCTCGGAAATCCCCACACATCTTGCTGGCTTTCGCTGGATCCAATAGCGCACCACCACGATCCTCGAGACATCATCAACTTTTTCGGAACGCAAGCACGACCATCCTTGTGGGGTCCATAAAATGAATTCTTCA